GAATTTGTAAATTGTTTATTAACAATAATATTCTTTTGGAATAGAGTAGTGTTTTTGTTAGATTTTGATGTTTTTTTCCTTTTTAACCATTTTTAGTTTTAATCTTTAAGAATAAATGTAATCGTTAAACCATTATTAGTCATAATTTTTTTAGAATGATTATAATAATTGTTTATAGTCTTTTTTTTACTGATGAATGTAAATAGTGATTCTTAAAGAATAAAATATGTATTCTTTAGAAAATGTTATTCTTGATAATATGTTGTATAATTCTTTAAACATGTTTAATATAAAAAGTATCTTGAATGAAACAATATTCTGCAAGAATAAAACCGCAAATATATTTACTAGTTTATTGTTGACTTTTCGTCATTCTGACAGAATAAAATCGGTTATTATTAAAATTAATATTAAAATTTAATTAGAATTAATTTAAAAAATTCAGATTTTTTAAAAATAAGGGAATTAATGATCCCTTAAAATCCGAAAATTTCCTTTTTAAAATAGGTTAATTGACCAAAATACCCTTTTGGTGAAATTTGTGTGATTATATGATACATGCTACCCTATTGTAATATCATAGACCCTCAACTCATGATTGTTGATTCTATTCATCCGGTGGTCTAGATGTGTGCATTCTGGCACACAATAGTTACTAGATACAAAATAACCTAACCTTATATATATATATATATATATATATATATATATATATATATATATATATTAAAGAATATTTTTGTAAACTAGACATTAGGAATATGTTTATTAAATTTAGTTTTTTACATTATTTGTATGTACTTATTAAAGATTGTCAATGCTTTCTCCTAAGAATACAAGATAATGATTAATGTTTATGTACATGTTTAAGAGGATATTTTTTTTCTTAGGGCGGACGGAGTAGTGGTAAATGGGATGGCAGTATCAACGGTATCGTCGGGAGCATTATCCCGAGAATTAGTGGGTTGATGTTTTGGCCTCACATGCAGGTTGAGTAAACCAATTTCATCCCTCTTTCTTTTCTTTTGTACCAATGGATTTAGGACTTGTATCATATATTGTTTTGTATCTTTTTAATTGAGTGAGTTGAGAAAGATGTTATTTCCATGTATTTTAGGTTGGAAAAGATGGAATAAATAAAAAATAGAGAAAAAACTGCACAAATGGTCTCTGTGGTTAGCTGAAAATTGTCACTTTGGTCCAAAAAGGTTTTGACTAGCACCAGAGATCCAAACTTTTCATTTTGTTGCGAGTTTAGTCCAATTTGGTTTGAATTTTGTTAATATGACGATTTTGCCATTTATATTTTCATTTTCTTTTCTAAATTACATTAACTAAAAAAAGAAAAAAGAAAAAAGAAAAATCATTACATCTCTCTCTCTCTCTGTCGCTCTACATTACATATACTTTTAAATCCAAAACCTGTAAAAATTTCCATTAAATCTTCGGCTCCGGCGAAGGCAACTCTCTGGGCCTCCTCCTTCTCTCACCATAGTGTCGCTGTTGCCTGGCATGGACCACCATCTCATCGCTACTGTCCATCTGTAAACCCTTGCTCCGATCTCCGATCTTATTGCCACCATCCAGATCTGTAAACCTTCATTTTTCCGACGATCTGAACACCAGCGTTGCAACTCGACGATGCTCTGATCTGCAACTCAAAGAAGACGATGGTCTGATATGAACATCACCGATGTAACTCGACGAAGCTCCAATTTTGTAAAACCTCATTTTTTCGGCAAGCTTCGTCTCTTTCTATATTTCTCCACCTTCTTCATCAGCAAACCCTAGTGGTTTGGCGATGACATTCCAGAGAAGACGAAGGGCAGCAACGAGTTAGGGTTTTCAGGATACTCTAATTGATTATTCTTGTTTCAGTGCCGCTATCTTCCACCGAAAACCCTAGATTCGCCATCTTTATCAGCAAACCCTAGTATCGGTATGTGTTAAACGACGACCCTACTTTTGTTTTTCCAGACCCGGCGAGAAAAAAAAGAACGTGGGTGATGAACATATCTGGTGGTTAATTTCCTTTTCTGATTTTTTGGCAGATTTGGTGTTGTTGGTGGTTTGGCGGTGATTATGTGTTAATGGTAGTCGATGGTAGTTCAATGGTGGTGTGTTGATCTGATGGAGAAGATGATAAGTTGTAGAGTCGAAGGTGGATAATGGCGGGTTGTGTAGGTTGTGATGGAGAAATAAGGGTGGTGTTTTTGGATTATGTCTGATGGTAGTATAAGGTGGAATTGGGTTGAATGGTGGTCTTGGTGGTGAGAATGAAGATGGAGAAGGGTGGTGGTGGATGATGAAAGGTTTATATGAGGTTGAAGGTTAGGTCGAACAGTCTAGGTTCGGGTTATGAAGGGAGTGAGGGAGAAAGGTTTATTTTTTCGTAATTAGAAAAATATTTAATTAAATAAAAAAACTAAAAAAGAAAATATCAAGGACAAAATCGTCAATATACAAAAGTTCAAACAAAATTAGACCAAACTCGCAACAAAAGGAAAAGTTTGGACCTCTGGTGCTAGTCCAAATGTTTTTAGACCAAAATGTCAATTTTCAGTTAAGCACAGTAGCTATCCGTACAGTTTTGTCAAAAATAGAAAATCTATATGACACTAAGTTGAAAGACTTCTATTTCTACCACCTTTATAAAAGCTAGATTTTGTTCTAGTTATATTTTATGATATATATTATAATTATTCATATTTTTATCTTTAGTACGTATTTGATGAATATTTGATTTTTTTATAATTCTTTTATAGAAGAATTGTTTGGCACTTATTTGTATCAATATTTTGTAAAGTATATGTGGGGTGTCCAATTGAGTCAAGTGACTATGTTAACCAAAAGTATCCTTTCACTCATTCTAGACTTGGTGACAACTCCACTCTAATATATACTTGCCTATTGGTTATATTTATTTAAAGTCTTTTGACGAAAAAAACAACGAAAATCTCATATGTTCTTCCTTCAATAAATATGTTGGTTGGCATATAGCTCCATTTAAAATTATCATATAGTGTAATTTTTTGAGTTTAATATGGGTTATATCTAACTTCCTATATAATGGAGTTTGGAAGTTGAGAACTTGAGATTGCCATATATATATATATATATATATATATATATATATATATATATATATATATATATATATATATATATTAAAAAAAATGCCCCAAAACCTAAGTCTTAACATAGAAAACACATGTAATTTAGCCTGATTGTAGTAATTAAGTTGTGTTTGCCGTGTTAGCTAAATCAACTCTTTAATTTATAAAGTAACTTACCAACAAATTATCTAAAAATAACTTAAGTTTATAAACTATTTTAGAGTCTTGTCAAACACTAAACTTCAATAAAATTTTTAAAAATAAACTAACTTACATGCATCAAACGCAACCTAAAAAGATAGATTAAAAGTATATGATGTGTCAAATCTTTTAGGCTTGTGTAAAAGAGCAAGCAATATTGCACAAACAGTTTGGGGTTTAAATATAGAGGCAGATCATGAAAGAAACTTGTCGACGTATTTTAAGATAAACATATTGTTATCCGATACAAACATGTATAGTACGAATGTCACAATCTTCCATAATATCTAAAGCAACCATGTGGTAACTACATTTTTGGACCTTAAATGTCACAATCACACCACAACAAAATAAACCCATGATCGCTACCAAGAAAAAGAATGAATTAAACCAAAACAAAAATGTCACTATTAAGCAAAATACCATGAATCATTTTATATAAAAAAAAAGAAGAAATCAAATATGAAAAAGAAAAAGAAGGATGCCAAAACAGCAAAAAGCCAAATCTCCCATCAATTGATTAGTGGGAGGAAGAAAACAAGCATCACCAAAAGGAGAATCATCCAAGAAATCTATAAAAAAAAACATAAAGGCCCACATTATAATAAAAACATCACCTTGTTTATTTTCCAAATAATTTCGTAAAATCTCCATAACAACACCAATAATTCTTCAATTACTTTCATTTTTTTTTCAAATAAATGAAAATTCGAAAATAGAACAATAATATCAGGAAATAACGGATAATTGCTCATCAATCAAAAGTTTGATTGTTAAGGATTTAAATTACAAAATATATAGATTAAGAAATACAGTAATTAAAGTAATTAATGAATGTGTAAATCATTCTAAAAAAATAATATTCCAAAAGGCATTATGTTATAAAATGAATACTAGGATATTCCTAATGCACGTAATCTTCATAGAATCATATCTATATCAATATCAAACATAAAATATCCCCTTTTAAATCTCAACTCTTCCATAATAGAGTAAAATGAGTGGAAAGGCATCCATTCGTAAAAGAAGGAATAAGATTGAAAAGAAAACATAATATTCCAAAACTCATTGTTCTTAACACGTCGATAATTCCTTTAGAACATATTGTATATCACCATTTAGCAATTATCAATTTTCAACTTGCTATGAAATCTTGAAAAGATTCACAATATCCATCATAAACACATGTTTCACATAACAAACTTCGTACTACAAACATGTTCACCAAAAGAACAAATCTTAGAAAGCACATATCAAATCATATAATGCATACAAAAGGTTAAATAGTTTATGAGTCCTATTGAAAAGATTCCAACTTTCAAGAAATCATCACAAACACAAGTTTCATATCTTGAAGATAACAAGTACCTCCAAAATCATGGGTAAAAACATGATTTGGATGTGTATGATATAAAGAAACGAAGGCAATAGTTGAAGCAAAGAGGATCTAAAGAAAAGCTACATTCATTTACCAAAACAAATGGGTAGGTCCCACATGAGGATATAGTATATTCCCCATGAAAAGAAAACATATTTGCTTACTCATTTCCTCCTTTCTTTCCCTACCCACCCATTAAAAACAAAAGTTATAAACTAAGCTTAAAATAAAGGCTTCAAAAAGCTAAAAAAAAAAAACATAACAAGAAGCCAAAAGAAAGCCTTAAAGAGGTAATAAAACTAGACATCTATATTGTTATAAAAAGTTAGAACTCTCTAGGATCAACAAAAATGGATAAACCAGGCTGTGATTTTCTCCAATCACCAACTGATCCATCACTATAGTCTTCCCCTAGCCTCTTGATACACCACAAATCCGTGAACGATAACACTTTCCAATGTGGGATTGCTAACTTGAGCGGGTCCTCACTTGACACCTCAGTTGCCACCACACCACACTTGCACTCCATAGCCAAGTTATGAGCAAACCCGAATAACCCTTTTGCAAAACGGGTGTACATTGGGCCCGAACCACCCAACCCATATAACATATGGAGCCCAAATGGGCTAAAAATCTTGGGTAAAGATGGAAGCCTCAAAAATGGAAAGATCCGATCCAAGACCCGAGTCGTTTTCGCAAACCCTTTTCTTAGCTTCGATGCGCCTTTCACTTCAAGTTTAAAAACGTCTTTACAGTTCCACACACTCATAACAGCCCAATTCTCAGGTGGGTTTTTAAAGAAATGATCCGACCCGGCCCAAATGTAACCTTTTGGTAACGCGAGGAACGTTCCGAGGTTGAGGTGGTTGTTTAGTACTGAGTCAATGTCGCGCGGGAAAAACTCGGTGGTGGAGAATCGGTGGCGGTAGAGTGACTCAGCGTCGGATGGGGTGAGTTTGATGATGGATATACGGTTGCTGACGGGGAGCCGGTGGGCGAATACAGGGTGGACGAGGACGGAGGGGTTACGGAATTTTGTGTAGCCGCATTTTCCGGTGAAGAGACCGACGGAGGGTTCGTTGGCGTCGTCGGTGGCGATGTAGGAATACTCGGCGCCGTTTTCTCTGAACCATTCTTCCATTCCATAAACTAGCTTTAATCCGATTCTCATTCTCCTGAAAAAAGTTTCAAGAATGTTATCAAGAAAATTTTCAAGAAAAGAATGTTTTTTTCTTTCTATTTTGAGTAAAAGAACGAAAAGACGAATAGGATAAGAAATCTTGTAGAGTTTTGATCATGGGTTAAATCAAGTTTCCATTTTTAGTAATTCTTGTTGTTATTCAGTCGCCGGAGAATATATTTACCGGTGAGAAGGAGACACCCGGAGACCCAAGATGTAAGCGAGCTTTGTCAACACCGGGACATGCTTCGGAGGTTCGCCGGATTTATTCCGGGACATTTTTTCACCACAAGTCACAGTTTTTATACACCCCCGAATCATCCCCACTATTTCCTTCCTCTCCTCCGCCCCATCGCCGCCGTAACTCACCAACTCCGCCACCTGTAGTTATCATTTTCAATGTTATTCTTCTTCTTCTTCTTCTTCTTCTTCATGTTAAATATAAAAAGATGACCTAAGTTAAAAGTGAACGTGAATTACCAGCATGAGATAAGCAGGAGAGTTTCGAACTCTACAAATTGGATCACCCAAAAGATCAGTGTAAAGCGAGAGTTCGCCGTTGGGACCCACTTCACAGCTACTCTCGACTTGTTCGACTCTGTCGCCGTCGGTTTTATGGTTGTATTCCCTAATGACAAGCACCACCTCCGCCGCATCACCACCACCTTCCTCAGCCATATTTTGTTTTAATTACTGTTGAAATGGGATGTGAAGAAGCAACGTATTTATGGAGTGATCGAATGGAGAAAGAAGAGATGATGAAAAGTTGCCTCGAAAACCGATTAAGATTCAGCAGAGCCACGAAAAAAGGGGCCGTTTTCAACTTTCCCTTTTTCTTTTAGAGAGAGAAAGCTATAGATATAGAGAGAGAAAGAGTAGGAGTGAGTGGTTTATCATTGACGTGCTTTCTTCTTCCATAATGGCTCCATTTATATACATGATTTTTGGGGCTATCCCTCCTTTAAATTTTCCTTATTTAATTCTGCGCTTTTTAAGAAAAATAAAATGGAATTCATTTTTAATTTTTAATTTTCAATCACAAGAAGGAAATTGGCGGCTATGGCTGCGCAGTCTCTCTCTCTCATCTTTATTCCGATTATAATCATTATATTTTTGATGTGAATGTGCCACCATCATGACCCCCTCTATAATCATTGACACTATTTTAAATCACTTCCAAACTTATTTTATAATAATTAATTAATTTTTTAAATTAATTTATCATATTTTAGCATATTCTAGTCGATAGTGTAATAAGTTAACGTTTTATATAAAACACCAATCATAATTAATACATAATATCTTACATCTCCAAAGATTGACGATGGTTTTCTTGATCTGATTATATTTGCACACTTCATTTCATGTGGTGTGTTAATTCGTGTGCATTTTGGTAACTCTTGGTGACAATTGTGTTGATTCATTTCATGGTGTGTTCTATTTCTCATTATCTTCATATATGTCATTTATGATGGGATTTTTCTTACACGAAACCCTCACTTCTTATGTTCTATTTTTAGGAAAGCGTTTTAGTCTTATAAAATGACAATCAAATGTAAATAGTTTTTTTAGTTCATTTGTCGTTTAATTGTATTTAATATGCCATTAAAATCGTATTTAGGTTATCATTATATTATTGGGCAGTAAATTCAACCGGATAAACAAATATTAAATCTTAGGTGTTGTCCAGTGTGACATTTAATATAACAAAAAAAATGTTCGTATAGATATGCCCGACAGTAGTATTGCTTTTAGTCTACATTGACATTTCATATGGTAGAACTATCCGCTTGAAATACATTATAATGATGTAATAAAAATTTAAAAAAATTTGGAAGCCTATGAAATACAAATAAAAGATAAGTGATTTAAAAACAATTGTTTATTATTAGTTGTAAGACATTAATCCTATTATAAATAGAACTTTTTTCATTGAAAATTTAGTTAATGAAGTTATTAGATTGAGAAAACTACAAGAATAAAAGCTTGAACTCATATAAAAACAAAGACTATTCTTTTTTTAATGAGTTTCAAATATTTAAGATTAGTTTTTAGATTTCTTTGTTCCAAAATCTTTAATTAATCTTGTTTTAAATTAGTTTATATGAGACTAGAATATTCATTTTCTAAAATATTGAAAACATATACAATCATCACATACCAAACAACTACAACTTGGTCAAATAAATGTAAAAATTAATTAATACACCTCTAACAACCAACAAACACATTTTAGTAATAGAATCTTCTCCAAAATTTCTATTATAATAATAAACAAAGTTATATTTTACCAAAACTTTGTATAAAATCAAAACTATTATTTCCAAATCTTCATAATTATGAGTCCATGATCGTTACCTAAAATAAATAGTTATATATACTTTAAACAATTTAAAATACAAAAAAAAAAAGTTTAAAAATTAAAATTAAGGTAATATGGATGATGTACGAATATGATGATGGTCATCGGCATCCCCATCGTATGCCATGTGAAACGAGTAAGCATAGAGATGAATCACATGTTTCGCGCACTTTTTTAAGATTAAGGTAGGTGCACGTGGCACTTCCTGAAACCATCAATCATTAATATCGGATAGTTATAAGCCGTTTGATTTTCCTTTTAACCAAAAAGTTGTTGTGCTTTTTATTCTTTATTATTTATAAAAATTAAAATCGAACATGAACCATCTACTGGTTGCGTGGCTCTTCCGATCATCATCTCAATTTTAGTGGTCCTTTCTCAAAATCTTTAACGATCTTGGTTCATGAATGGATAATTATTTTTAGTTTCTTTTATTAAATAATAATCGTTTCTTTATGATTAGGTCAAATAAAGTTTGAGTTTAGTTAATAATTTATCTGAAACATAATTAGAAAATAAAGTAAAATAAAACAAGGGTTATGCACCAAGACCAATATTGTATTTTTAAATTAGAGTAATTGTTATACTTCAATTATGGATCAAAATCAATACTATATATTAAAAAGAGCTGAGTTGTATTATAAAGTTCTTTTTTTTTTTTTTTTTGATAAAATGTCATGATTTATGTTAGATTTGGTGAAGTCCTAAGCAATCAACATACATGGAAGGAAGAAGTAGGGAAAATGACTATTGAGGGTAATTAACTTTTGTGTTTGTACTCATTTGGTGCATTTTTTTTTATTCAATATACCATCGAACTTGTTGTTTGTGTTCACCATAACCCTTTTGACTGGCTTTTGACCTGTGATAGCCGGTTAAAGGGTTATGGTGAACACAAACAACAAGTTCGATGGTCTATTGAGTGCAAAAAAAGGAAAGAGACTAAATGAGAACAAATGCAACAGTTGGTTACCCTCCTGATTCATTTTCCCTTTACTCATTTACAACAAATCCCACGTCATCTCCTACTGATATTAATGACTTTATGAGATTCATTCTTGCTTCTCTTCAAAACATAACTCACGAAAGAACATTATTCATACATCTACAACTTTGTAATGCACTTGAATATTTATTAGGGGAATCTTGACTAAGCAGGCGCATTTCATGACTACATTTACATTTCCAATCAAATGATTTATCGTATCATGGATTCTAGACAAGTCTACAAACGAGTGGAATCACAAGTGCTGTGATTTTTGAGTTTACTTAGCTTTAAGATCGAATTCATGGGATAAGATACAACATCAATATGTACAATATCATGCTGCTTTTGTAGACACGTCACCATAATATACCTTGAGGTAAATGTTTATGCTGATAAATATACCTCTCATACACAGTCATATCCTTTTACAGAGAGGTGTTAACAGCTAACTACAGTAAGCATAGCATAGACCATGTTTTAACGAGGTTACCCCTTTGAAACGCTCTTCATATACGTTATAGCCAAAGAAGGTCGCAGTCTTTGATAATTTTGCAACTTTAATTTCATTTAACTTTTCGGGGAAAATGACTCAGTAGGGTAACCAACTGTTGAGTTCGTTCTCATTTGGTCCCTTTCTTTTTTTTTTGTACTCAATATACCATCGAACTTGTTGTTTGTGTTCACCATAACCCTTTGACCGGCTATCACAGGTCAAAAGCCGGTCAAAAGGGTTATGGTGAACGCAAACAACAAGTTCGATGATATATTGAATACAAAAAAAAAGGAAAGCGACCAAATGAGTACAAACGCAAAAGTTAACTACCCTCAAGAGTCATTTTCCCGAAGAAGTATCATGAATGGTCCTCTCGTTTTAAACGAATTTGGTGGGCTAAGAAAACTAAAAACAAAGTTCTTATGACTTATTCAATTGGGTATCTCTAGGATTGACTATGGAACTTTGGTGTAAGGTGGAGAAATTGGATTAGTGGTTGTATCTCCGAAAGCGTTTCCACACTTGTCAACGGTTCATCTTTTCTATTTGATATTGTCATGGATGGTTTGAACATTTCTTTAAAAGAAGCAAACGAGAAACACTTATTTTAAGGCATGTCCCTTGCAAAAAATGAGTCTCTTTTATCTATTCTTTTTATACGGATTATGTGATTTTCATTGGAGAATGGCCGGAGATTAGTTTCATCAATTTAAGTAGAATCCTTAGATGTTTTCATATTGTTTCCAGTTTGAAAGTTGATCTCCACAAAGAAAAGTATTTGGAATGGGAGTTGAGAAACTTGAGCTGACTCGTCTTGCAAGTATCTTACGTTGAGAGCTTGCGGGTTTTCCTTTCATGAATCCTGGGCTTCCTATTGGAGCCAACATGAAATTAGCTAACAATTGGAGACCTATTGTTGAATAATTCAATTCAAATTTATCCAATTGGAAAGCGAGCACTCTTTCCTTTAGAGGGAAGCTTGCACTCGTTAAATTCGTTATAGATAACCTTCATCTTTTATATTTCACACTATTCAAAGCTCCAAAAGAATAATTGATTGTTTGGAAAGCATTAGACGAAAGTTTCTTTAAGGAGGTAAAGATAATAATAAAAAAATTCCATTGGATTGCATAGAGCACTTCGGTTCGGCCTAAAGATAAAGTGGCATTGGTATTTGTTGCCTTAAACAATGAAAGTGGCTCTTCTTGCTAATGGTTGTGGTGTTTAAAATGTGAAGCTAAAAAATTATGGTCATCTTGTATTATAGATTTGCATAATATTTTTGGTATTAATGGCAAACCTTTGGTGAAATGTGTGTTATCAGAGACACGGCTATTGTTAGGAAGTAATGCGGATAACAAGCAAAACTAAAAGCACACAAGCCACAGTATTTACGTGGTTCGGTCAAGGTGACCTACTGTAACATCCCGATGTCAAGGTACTTCCAGTTTTGACCCTATGTTTGAATAATATTGTATCTTGGCCCTTGGGATTGAAAAAGGATTGCGAAAATAGCCCTTAGTGGCAATATGGTACTTTTGGCCATTGTGGTGTACGGTAAGTGTACGTTGTGTACGCTAAGCGTACTAGGGCGCGCCCTAGTACGCTGGACCTACACCTCATACGCGGGCGTATGTGAGGGTCATGCAAAACCTAATTTTTAGGGTTTGGTTCATATTTAAACCTCATTATAGCCTCACATCTCATTCTTATTCATCCTTCATCTGAGAGAATCGACCCCCAAGCAAAACCTAAGTGAAAGAGTGCATTTTTGGAGCTTTTGGAGTGTTAAAAGTGTTCTTAAAGAATAAGTGATTGGTGGAAAGAGCTTGGAGTTTGTGAAGTACCTTAGATCTGAGATTTCCTCCTTGTTAGCAAGCTCTAGAAAGTAAAAAGTTTGCATCTCGATCACTCTATCTTGTAGATCTAGACATTTCACTTCCTTAAGTCACTTTTTATCCTAAAATGGTGATTGTTGAGCATGACATGTTCTTGATCCATTAAGCCGTCCTTTTAAACCTTAGGAAGGATCGTTAGTCATAAAAATGT